AAGAAGTCTGTTACTCAGACCAGACTGCGAGAAAGATACAAGACCCTGCAATGATGACCTGCTTCACCTTAATTAGCAGGGCTGCCTGCTTTTTGGAAAGCTGCTGTTATTTATTGGGTGTGCACAAAAAAACCCAGGAAGCTATGGGTGGCTTCTAAGCACAACTGTGATATAAATTAATATCAGAATGAATAACACTAAGAATAATGAAACTGGATTCACAATATTAGAGAAGGAAATGTCAAGCCCGTCGAGTTCCTGTGGATGCACAGCAAGGAAAATAACATTAAAAGGGAGGTCAGTAATGGCTCTATGATGAACGGTATGAGGCGGGAGAGATGTTCTTTCGAAAGTACTTTGCCTGCTACTGCTCAGATGTCCGCTTGCCTCAGACATGCAACAGTGCTGCTACCTTGAGGCCCCTGAGCACAAGCACACTGTTTTCACAGCCTGCAATCAGATGAAGTGTGACGGGCAGAGTATCAAGTCTGAACAGACCTAGGTAACCACTTTTCACACCTGGCCTCATTTCCCTCTGTCTTCTCATTCTTAACTGGATTTTCATTTACTGCTTATCTAGGCAGCGTTTGAAAAATGTCCCAGACCTCTCTGGATGGAAATCATCAGTCAAACATGACCGTGAATCTCCTTTTTGGAAAGCTCATATGGCTGTCTGGAAGTATCCTCGTCTCCATATGTTAAAAGGAGAGCTAGTGCCTCCACCTTCTTGCCCAGCTGCTCTCTCACATCTCTGCCCACATATCGTTAGTGCCAAATAGAAAGCACAGGGGAGGCTGCCTCAGGAGCACAGTGCCAGAATCACTGCTCAGCATACTTGGCTTTTTCAAACCACAGTAGTGGCTCTGTCTAATAGTTACGGTAGCTAATTGTCAAGGACATATGGCTCCTACTTTCAACATTCGCATCAAGTTGATGTGCGACCTTGGGCAAGTCACTTAGAAGAACAAGGGCTCCCAAGGATCAGCCACATGAAGATCAGACATAGTGATCTCTAAGTCTTTTTGTGGGCCAACCCTAAAATGATTTTAAAGTAGAGCTGTTTCCTTCTTCCAAGAAATCCCTTCCCTGAGGCAGAGATGTTCCACCTCTGAATGCAGGCCATATATCATAGAGAGACAATTTTCTGGGCACAAAGCCTGCTTCTGATGGCCGTCTTTCTAAATGATCCCTCAGGTATGAGGGTAAATGAACTGTCACGGTGAACCACAATCTTTCCTCAGAGTACCTTTCCTGCTGCATAATGAGCATGTGTCTGGTTAGATGAGTGAGAGGTAGCAGCCACCCTCAGCAGCCTTCTTTGCCAAGTACTCCTTGGATCCAATCAGGGAGCAGGATGCAGACTTTTGGACTGCACATGGATAATTTAGCTGATCTGCACGCAGAGAGAGAATCTGGTGCTGCTGGGAAGCATCAGATCTTCTGTGTGTGCACAAATCATTACACTGCTTACGCAGCTATGGAAAGTTTTTGGTGCACAGTCCTCCCCGGCCGTTAAAAGATGATGGGAGAGCTGACCAGCCAGTTGTTCACTGAGCAATTCAATGAGAAATTGGCAGACAGGCAAACCCACGGTTTTTAAAAGGAAAACTGGAAAGGCAAAAAAAGGGCACATTTTAACATGATCATTTGTTTGCTACAACAGATTCCATGGCAAATTTTAATTTCTCCTTAATCTGAATCGTTATCACCAGAAAGTCACCAAAAAGCTGGGTTCTGCATTTAGAGTCATTTTATTTTTTATACATTAAAAAATTCCCACAAAATATTTTTTAATAAAGGCATAGGCCACAGAGGCCAACACCAACTGTCTGCCTAAGCGCAGCTGTTTTGGAAACCTCAAAGGAGAGTGCACCTTTAACTTTGAAATTGATTTTTTTTCACTTTATTTTGTTCAGCTTCTAGAAATTGTTATACTAATTCAAGCTGTAGTGCAAGCTGTAGAGAAAAATGTGATCAGAATTGGGGCCAAGGACTAGGCACACAGCTCTCAGGCTCCTGATGGCTATTCCTTGATTATTTTGGGCATAAATTGTATTGATTATGGAAATGAGGAAGTGCAGTGACAGGCTCCAGAGGAATAGGCAAGCTTCCCAGGTCAGCATTTGTATGTCTGAATCCTATCTGCAAAGCACTGCTGGAATTCAAGCAATTATGAACTGATAAGGTTTCTGTCCCTGAATATCCCAGTACATCTGGACCACTAATGAGAGTGCTTAATCAGATAGAGCTGCGCATTTCACACATGGAAAAACTGAGGCAGAGGAACACCTGCTTTTTTCAGGAACGCACAGTTAAGGAAATCTCTGGCAGAGCCAAAACTGAACTCAGATTTTACAACAGATTTTACAAACTTAACTCAGATTTTACAACTCTCTAGTCAAGCCCTGTAAAAAAAGAGCATCTTTCAAAAATACTGAATGCCTCCAATCACATTGTTTTTGTGCTAGGGGAAACCAATTTTCCACTGTAACCTCTGTTGATAGTGAATTGTTGAGGGGCTGATACTGGAGAAGTTATGAACTTCTTTTGCCAATCTTTATTGCGACTCCTGGGGAAATAGGACAGCAATTCTTCATATGGATGTTCTGAGGACAGATACATGAAAGATTATAAGATGCTCAGATACAACCATATAAGATCGCAAATGAAAGCCAAAGTGGAATTGGAATTCTACAGCAAATACTACCTAGTACTATATTTCTTGTGTATTCTTCTGGTACAATCAAAGATATCGGATATTTCTTTTCAAGTCCTAGCTCCTGCATTCATGTCGGTAGCTGCAAATTTCAGCTTTCAATTTCTAACCATCATCATAGTAGAATAAAGGGGCTTTTCAGCCTCAGCTTCTATATTTGAGGCACAAAAGAAGGGAGACCTGTAGCTCTGGCTTTACAATGCTGGTAAATATTTTGCACCTGGCTTTACTTACCAGAAGGTTACACAACATTATTGCAGAACAGATATGTCACGCCAGGCAGAGAGACAACTGTGGCTTCTGTACAAATTCTCTTCACACTATAAATATAGATCTTACTCCATAGTTGCAACACAATCTCGATCTGCCTGTGGTGATAAAGGGAAAAAAAAGCTGGTTAATTTAATTAGAGTCCACTTGAAAACCCAGTAGCATGAAATAATTTGATATGCAGAAATAACCCTCACCAGCTACAGAAAACATTTCATTGTGTCTTATCTTGACATAACAGTAACTGTTATACTTAAGACCTTAAACTGTATAAACAGTGTGACTAGAGACAGCCCTAAGAATATTTTAAAAGACATCAGAACATTGCCACTTATTCAGCTCTCAGTTTTCTGTCAGGAAAGTATGCTAAAAATGCTGCTAGAGTAATATTCATCCTTGAGGAAATTTACAGTTAACTCATGCCCATCCATTCAGCAACAGTAAACACCTCCCACTAAAAACTCCTCTCCTTTTCAGTAAGGCCGCTGCTGGCCTAAGGGGGCCAATACTAAATGCAGTTGTGAGATGTAACATTAAAATACTTCAGATTCATACTACAACAGGTCATTACTAGAAGTACAAAAACATGTAGTACCGAATCAAAAGTCTATAGACAAGCTGGCAAAAAAAAGAGCTAATTATTTTTTGGCAAACATCTCGAGAGGAAAATTCTTCCCCCTAAATTTCCTGTGAATACTTCTCTTGCTTGTTTGCTTATTTTCGTCTAATAAAAACTGAAAAGCCTGAAAAGAATAAAGTTGCTGCAAATCAAAATATTATCTGTAGTTCAAAAATGAGCTTTCCTTTGTTTTTACAAACTTGTTTGGCTCCCAGCATCATTTTCCAGTTTTGGAAAGCAGAAAACCAAATACTATTAGCATACATTTTTCTAGTGGTTTGGCATTTTTTCTTGCAGAATTAAACAGTACAAAAAAACCCAAAACCTTTCTCTGAAGGCAAGAGGGAACTAGCTGATTATCTACGATGATCTCTTGCATATCACAGGCATTACATTTCACCTTGATATACCTCTACTACGTACAGTACTTTTAGTTAACTAAAGCATTTCAGTCTCATAAAGCTAAATTGTGGTTTAGCGCAGAAAAGAATTCTATTCTTTTAATCTTACTTTTAGTAATGTAAAGCTAGGCAGAAAAACCCCACTTAACTTTTATAAGGCGCAAAATCTGTGTGATACAGGAAATAAAGCTATAGAAACATGTTTTCATGTATGTGTGTATGTGAGAGACTATTTATGCATGTGCACAGGAGCTAGAGCTATAGGAACCTTCTCCACTGTGTGGGAGAGAGACACAGGAGCTAAATCTATAAAAACAGCTTGTGCGTGCCTTTCCGTATAGGATTATGGGCGTTTGTGAGAGAGAGATACAGAACCTAAACCTATACAACGCAGCTTGTGTGTGTGAGGAAAAGACAGGGACAGGGGGGTTAAATCTATAAAAAATATCTCATGTGTGTAGGAGGGACGGATGCAGAGAGATTCAGAAGCTAAAACACAGAAACCTTCTCCTCTACGTGGCAAGAGAGAGCTGGAGATTAACGGTTTCTGAGACAGGGGTATTGTCCTCCTCCTTACCTTCTGCTCCCATCACTTCAGAGTGTAGATTACTTCAATGAAATCTCAGAGGGTTTTCCTCCCAGGGATATTTTCCTCTAAAAACATCAGGAATTCAGTGACTTCTAAATATGGTTTAATCTGCAAGGATGATGGGAATGTGCAATTTAGATCCCAGTGCTGGAAACGCATGCATCGATGAGCACCCTGGAAAAGGAATGAAATTCACCTTCTACAGAGGTTTAGTATAAAGCTTATGATTCAAGGTCTTTTCTCATACCCACAACTGTCCTTCTAAATGCACTCTAAACAGAGCCATACATTGCTCTATCAATAAAGAGAAAATTTCACCCACAAAGAACTCCTTTTCCCCAAATGGCCAGATTCCACCTGCGTATTAGCCAACAGTGAATAAAGAGGGACACAAACATGGCTGAACTGAACAGCTGTCCTGAATCCGAACAAAAGCTTACAAATGCTGTTTATGAAATACTGAACCATCTCCTGCTGCTGCCTGCCAATGTGGATGGCACTGAGCAAAGGAGAGTTTCAGACAGCTACTCATACATTATTATTATTATTAATTATTAGTATTTACACTGTGATTAGCATCCGGCAGCCTTAGTCAGGGAACAAACGTTCCACATTGCCATCCCTTGTTACAGATGTTTTTATACCAGTCACAACATACCCTGCCATACAAGAAAAAACATACCTGGCATAAGGCTGTGAAATGTTCAAGTGGATCCACTATCTTGCAGAATATTGCTGATTCCTGGGTTAAAGAGAAAAAAGCCATCAGATTCTTACACTAGCTTCCAGTGGGAAGAAATGGAAATTGCATTATTGTTTGCAGACCAGAGTGGGGGTGTGACGAGACTGGGTGATCCTACAGTTCTTTTCCCATTCTCGATTTGCAGTGATTCAAACCCTTCTCCAGGGAGATGGTTTTAGAAGAAGGTTCAGGATGGTGCTTGAGGATGCATCACAGACCAGAACTGTGCTATTGACTCTTTCTGTTTTGAAAGTGCCCAGAGGCCACAATGAGCATCAGCACAAACAGATCACTGCCTAGGGGAGCACACCTACTCAGCAGCAGTGATGTAGCACAGCTGGCACCAGCCCTGGCACAAGGGCTGAAACTGGACAGCAGATCTAGCTAACTGGCACTGCTTGTCCCCCCTCTCCTCTCTCCTTTCTCTGTCTTCTCAGCCAGCTGCCCAGACCCTTTGGACAGAGGCTCCAGTGCAATTGCACTGCCTGCACACACAGTTTGCAAACGTGACTTATCCCCCCTCCCCCCCGCCTCCTGTCAAGTTGCATAACTACATAAACCTGCATCTGCCTCTGACGATAGTCCAGTTTTCCCTCTTTATTTATCTACCTGTCAGCTCATTTTTCAGTCTCTCTCTGGACAGACCGAAGGAGAGACAGAACCAGATGCTATGGCATGCACTGAATGCTAACTAGCTTGGTGGAACGTGCAAGCATCCTCATGCAGTGGAAAGGTCCTTTTGTAAACATGCTTTGTGATCAAAGGGCTGACGCTTGCTGATATTTTCAATATTAATAATCTCCCAGCTGCCTCACTCCATTCTCTCACTCCCTGTTTACCCATCCTTCATAGTTCACAGAGAGGTAGGGTTTAAAACAACAAGCCAGTAGAAGGAAAGGAAGGTTGTTTAAAACAGGAATTCACATGAAGAATAAACCATATTGAAGTTGAACTGAAATGCATCACATGATAGATACATAAAAAAATCACCGTATTGTCATACGCTGTGCATGGCACAGACTAAGAGGCATCTAAAGACAGGTGCACACATGCATACAAATATAATGTATATTCACATTCACACTCCTACAAAATCCATGTACCGAACATGTTCACGTACCGTTGTATTCACACCTCCTTTCCTATCCACTATGCAGATATATGTGGAATCAGAAAACTGCAACAAGAGCGTGTTTCATCCGTAAAACAGACAAATTACCACAAAAAATACATGCCCATGCAAGCTACTCCCAGAAGAAGACATGTAGACAGCTATTTTTTGTGATGGCTTGTATGTTTGTAGCAAGAAGGCTAAGGAAGCCCAGAGAAGAGAAAGCTGCGCAGAGGCAGAAATAGCTCCAGTAGCATGGATCTGAGAGACAGTGAAGAGACAGTGTTTGGGCCAAGGGCTGCCTGAAAGATACAAAGACGCAAGGAAAGGAGATATTTTCTTCCTGTTTGACTCCTGCTGTGCTCTGTGAAGGAGGATGTGGTATGTTCTCAGTCCATAAGGACTGCATCAAAGACCCCGATCTCTGTTGCCTGCAAACTGAACAAAGCTGATCCTTTAACTCACATGCAGAAGGGTGCTTCCAGGAAGCATGGCACCTGCTAATGGAAAATTAGGGTGCTAGTCAGGGTGTACTTCCATACAGGACACTGCTTGCTGAATCACAGGATTTTCTGAGTCCATGTTCCCACATTTAGGTTGCAAAGTCCCAGGTGCCACTATGCAGAGCTGTATAACTGGGAGCTGTTTAGAAAAACAGTGTGTCTACGCTTTTAGCTACTCAAGCCCTCACTTGTCTGTCAGACCTGAAGCAAGGCTTTCTGACTGCCATACACTCTGTTAACACATACTCTAATTTCTGATACTGCTGGCAATTTGGGTCAGTTTTGCAAAAATATCGATGTTTTGATTCTCATTTTCATCCCTCTGAAATGTATAAAATAAAGCATATAAACAAGACATGTAACCACTATAATTGTTGTGTAATTTTATTACATTCTGGAGACAAAATGTGGCCTACTGCACAGGCACCTGCTGGGTAGTCAAAGCCTTTGGAAACAAGGTCCATTTTTGATCTGTTATAATTTGACAACGTCACAAAAATACAGCACGCCGACTTGCCAGCAAGGGTGAAAATTTATCACCACAAATATTTCGCTTTCCTTCTTTTTGGTATTTAAGGGCTTTCTAAACTCAAAGGTCACAGAGAAATTGCTGAGAGGAATCACAATTAGAGAAAATGTTTCCAGTGAGGGAGAACCTTTCTGTAAGAAATGCATGCCCAGACTGAACAGAAATCATGCCCATGGCTTTATATCATCCCAGGACTGTGCTATCTGCTAGCTGGAAAAATGCACTCCATTTTCAGATTCCTCTTTAGTAGCTGCATCCTAGTAAAATATACTGGGAATTTCAGGCTATCTAAATGCCTGTTTTATCACCTCATCCCTAATATATGCAAAGCATTGATTGCATCTATTGCTAGAATATTGCTTTGCACTACTAGAGCTGCACTTTACAAGCCTGTTTATATAGGTTAGGATTCCACTTCCTTCCTTTCCTGCACAAACAAAAGTAAGCATTTAAATGTGGTAGGTGTTATGTCAGGACATTAGGGCCATGATTTTAACTCCTGATACACGAGGGCATAGGAATCTCAGAAAGCTAACCAAAAGCATCTTCTTCTCAGCCTTAGATGTAACAAGAGGGCAGACAATCAGGCACCAGGATTGTGATCCTCAGTAGCAGCCTCAGCACTGGGGGTCACAGACTCGCAGTCACATTAAGTCATACAGAACTGCCAAAGCTCTAGTTAGCAGTCCTTGGCCTACCCCACCGCTAAGGACAATGTTGGAGGCGCTCAAAATTGCCTCACCCAAGCAAGGAGTGCATCTCTCCAGCATCCTGCCCTCACACCAGCCCTCATCCATCGGCTTTCCCCCTATATTCACAGGACAGTTTTTCTGCCTTAGCAGAGGCTGTGCACTAGGATTCCCCATTGCACTTAAGGGTGAAAAATCTTCCAGGACCAGCAGATGGGGAGTGAAGAGAGGAAGAGAGGTGCAGCATGAAATCTAAACATCTGCTTGCTGTTCATCTTCACCCATGCTGCGCTCAGAAGATGGAGCCCATGGAGGGAGGGAAGGAGAGGATGCTATTGCCAAGAGTTTGCTCAAGATGTTTAAAGTGCAAAAAAGCACTTTAAAAAAGCAGGGGAGTTTGCTTAGGACTCGTGTAGCACTCCTTATGCTTCAGTTTGCTACTAGGCCCACTCCGTCCCCTGCGCCTTTCCTAGATGATACTAATAAGGAACCTGATTAGCATTCAAGGATCAGTTGTGCCAATTAGGCCCTGGTACATACTGGGGCCGTGTCCAAGCACTGAGAGGCATGCTGCTTCTCTGGCTGCCAAGTGCCTTGCGGTCATGCTATGGAGCACAGCCATGGCATCACCCCCATGAGCGGGAGCAGACGATGCTCTCCCCACAGCCAAGTGGGGCAGCGAGGCAGTGCAGAAAGGCTGGGAGACACAGCTCTGCTCCATGGGAGATAGGCTGGATCCCTGGCAAGCTCAACGGGTTTGACTCGCATCAGAGCATAAGTGGCCTTGGAGTGGGGACTATATGCATTCTCATAGAACAAAAGAGGTGCTGGTACATGTGCCCATGCTATTTTGTGGGCCTCCAGGACACTGCGGGATGTTGCCAAGTCCTGGTCTGTCTGTGAGAGGCATAGCCCTGCAGGAAGATGAGATCCCTGTGCAATTCACAGAGCAACTACACAGCAGGGGTTAGAAAGGCAGCTTGATAACCATATTCTCTGGCTGCCAGGTTGCCTGTGGCAGAGGCATACATGACTCCTGACAATGAGGCAGCCACCTGGACAGAAATGCAATCCTCGTCGCCAAATAGAAATGAAAGTCTTCCTGGCTTGCCAGCTAATGCTGGCGGGAGCAGAGCATGAAAGGAGGGGGAACAGAAGACAGGGAGTTCTTCAAAGCATCTATTAATTATAGCATGCACAAATCTCTGGTGATATGGAACAGAATTTAACATTTTCAAAGGAAGGAAAGGAGATCCCCATCCTTCCTGTCTGACTGGAAGGTGGGGGTTGAGGAGCATGTCTGCTGATAGCAATATGCTTTTCTTCTTAGCCCTGGCACTCTGCAATCATGAGAAAGTGCCAGAGAGCAGAAAGGGAGGAGAACTGTAGCCGTCAAGGGGCAGATGAGGATACATGCAAATGTGTCAAGAGCGGAAGAAGCTGCTAGAAGGAAATATACCTATCTCCTCACTCTTGAATATCAAACAGAGTGAATAGCAGACAAAGAGATCATACAGCAAAGCAACAGAGAAGGTCTGTGATGGCACACAGAGAAACAGAATAAACAAGAGGCATACTTCTGCCATATTTAATTTTGATTTCGGAAAAAGGGTAGAAAAACATGGACTGTGATCATCATCAGATTATTTTTCCTTTCAAATCTTTTTTCAGCCAGTAAACAAACAATTAGGCCTTTGCACAGGCCTAGGACCAGAAACTGTTATGTCCCTGTCCTGCTTGGACAAATAAAATACGTTCTGAAATGGCTACAGTCTGATAGCTATGGCTCTTAGCTATCAAAAATGCCAGCCAGGGTTAAATCTCTTTCTTTTCAATTATTTTTTTCATTAATTAAAGCCCAAGTGACAATAAGCCATCCTATAAAAAACTAAAATGTCATTTGCTTTGACCAGAATTAAAATGAAGCCATACACACACTGAAGATATAATAAAGAAGGCAAGAGGAATAGAAGAAAAACTAATGATCACTAATGATAAGGATGATAACTAATTTTTCCTATATTTTGGTACAGTTGGGATGAGTTATGAGGTCTGCATCCAGAACTGGCTCTCAGGACTTAATATTCTGGTCCAGACCACTAAAAGGATAAGCCCAAGTTGAGACTCCCAGGAAGAGAGGGAGTCTGACAGAGCAGCTCTCAAGACTTTCTCAAAATCATCTCCTCATAAG